CCAGCGTTCCCAGCACCCCGTCGAACGGCTCGCCGTCGCCGTGGGAGCCGTTGTAGAACCCGATGGTTATGTCCGCGTCCGACGAGGAGTCGGTCTCGGTGAACGTCAGCGTCGTGGCGGCGGACCACCGGCCGAAGGCGCGGGCGAAGACCGTCTTCAGCACCGATAGGTCGATGGAGACGGCGGAGGTGGCGGTGATGGCGTACTTGAGCTCGGTTTTGTCGCTGGGCCAGGTGGGGGTGCCGGGGAAGTAAGCGTAGAGGTTGCGGCCGCGAACAAAGGAAGAGTTCATGGTGGAGGTGCCGTTGATGATGTCGGGCATGCCGCACCGCGGCACGATGAGCTGTTCGACCGTGGCGTCGTCAAGCTCGCCGGTGACGTTGAGGCCGAAGTTCCGCTGGTACGTCTTGATCGCCGCCTCCAGGTTGTCGTCGAAGGAGTTGGTGAAGTTGGGGGCGGCCGGGAGGTAGCCGAATTGGTTGAGGTACTCCTTGAGGTCGGCGAGGCCGGGCCTGTGCTCCCCGAAACGGCAGCCGGAGAGGTTCCTGAAGGGGATCCATGGGTTCTCAGTGGGCACCGGAGGGAAGTCAAAGGGAAAGGCAGACACCGAAGACGAGAAGAAGGCAGCCGCGGCCGCGACAAGGAAGAGGAGGGAGATGTGGGACTTGCTCATGGTTCTGTGACTTGGAAGGAGGGAGAGGGAATGGTCGAAGGGGGTAGCGATTGGTTCCTCTAATATATGTCAGACTTCGCAGGCCATGAAGTTGTTAGGTGTTGAAAGGAAGAGATCATGTCAAAGATGGACCGCAGACTTGGCCAGGAGCTTGTCGTCTCCAGAGATCCTGTGCTCATTTGGATGCATGATATGGAAAACTTGGGAAGACTACGTCAAGAAAATTGTATTATTCATTAATCATACATATATATATAGTATATAAATCACTGTTTCTTAGAAGATGCATGAGAAGTCTGACGATGGATGACAATCCTGCTGATGAAATCAACCCAGTAGCTCTCTCTCCAGAGTTTTCAGATATGAAGCTCTCAACCTGCACAAGTAAACTTCTAATTACATCATCAGATTACTTAGTTAGCATTTTTGCTTACCTGCTCTGTGATTTGAGCTGATGAAACAAGTCATTTATTCTGAAAGAACAACAATTTGCAGGGTTTGACCACCCTGCAGGGTGTGAACAACATATATTCTAATTAATGTGTATGTTGAGTGTCCAAGTTTGATTATTCTGGAAGAAGGGTTCATCCTAAAAGCTTATAATCATGTAGCGTGTGGGACTCCTCTGGCTTTGCAAAGCCACAATTAGCACATTGTTATTCTTTAATTCTGTCCAAAGTGGAAGTTGACTGTCTCTTTTACCAGAAGCATGTAGCAAGAACTCATGTCACTCCCATGGCATTAGGCATGTGGGCAAATGCCTATAAAGATTAGGAGGAGATATTACTATATGTAAAGCTTCCAGTTTACAGAATATTAAGTTCAATTTCCATGCAGCATCTATGTAGCAAGAGAACATACATCAATCTTCCTGTGTGTGATGTTGAAATGGTGTTATTCTTGTGGCCACAGCTTGTCTTCTTCCTGATGTGATATGATCTGATACATTGGAGAGATACCTTCTTCCTAATCACTTTTTCTTGGGAACCTAATTCCTAGCAGATCAATATATGTGCATATATATTGTATATTTGTAATCAATGCAACAACTATATTTGAATAGCCCAAAAGCAGAGGAACCAAAATTGACTGCATCATTCCTGAATCTCCCAGTTCAGTCTGATTCAATCTATCATACATAAATTAGCAGCAGGATGTTGTAGATCATCAAAAGGAAAAACAAACCCATGGTTGACTGGTTGGGCCTTGATGATGTAGGTGATGTGTGATAGATAGATCATACTGAGTTGATCACCTCTACCAAGTTCCTGGTCAACTTAGGATTCTTCAGCAGTTTGAAGGGAACATGGCAATCAAGCTTTTGCATACTGCCTTAAAAAAGGGGCTTAAAGGTTCCTCTTGGAATGAAACATCTCCTGTGTGTGCCTGATAGCAAGTAATGCCCTCATCTTACAAGTAATGCCCTTGCAATTCCAAGAATTATTCATTTCGTGGGAGAAATGGGTTTTCCATGTCCCACTTCAACTGTAAGAAGTTTCCATTCTTATCTGTCTACTTGTATGATTAGACCAGATAACCACCAGGGGAGAAGATTGGATTGTTTGAGCTGATGTTGACTTGGTTGGCCACAAAAGAAACAGAGAAAAAGTGGTGAAATGGTCTGCACTCTTCTCAGGATAGAATAGAACAGAAGTCAATTTAGCATATGGAGGCAGGCAGGTTTCTCAATCTTCTTGAAGGTTGAATGCCAGCCTTTTATTCCTTAACTCTAAAGAAGTTGACTCCTTGAACCTTCTCAGGGAACTAAGAACAAGTATTCTAATGCATAAAGTTCAATTCTTCTAGATTTTATCTAACATATTATAACATGAACTCTCTTAAATCTTGTCTGCAAAAAGATGAGATCCTTCTTAACAGCCACTGGAGGATGGTAAGTGGCTTGGCATTGAGATCTGAATATGTAATGGATTCTGGTTAGAACTTGGAAGAAAACATCCTTAATATGTAACTATGGTGATTTGTGCTGTTGGTTCATATAGAAGAACAATCATTTGCCAAAAATGGCTTCCAATCCTCTTCCAACACATCCAAGTTGAGCCATGAACAGATAGATTACTGGAATCCAGCCCAACACATCCAAGTAGCAGCAGCCCAACACATCCAAGAGCCATGAACAGATTAGCTCAATGTTATTTGTTTGCTGTTAAACAAGCAAAATCCATTCTTTGCTGCCACTTAAATCAAGCTTACACTGTAACTAAAACCATTAACAGTGCTGTGACACTGTATGCTTAGTGAAATATACTTATGTTCTTGTTTGGAGCAATTCAATGTAGTATCAAAGAAGGACATCTCAAGCCTTTGTTCAATAAACTACCTCTATCTCAACCATAAAGTAGATCATTTGCATCTAATCTAAAAGTAGAGAGAATTGAGGATGATCAATGGTGAATGATTCATGTGAATGTTTTACAGATGGTAAATTGCTGTCCCAGGTTCTGTGGAACACCTGCATCCATGAAGTGCTCCTATATCCTGATTGATCAAGAAATATTTATACCGAATGATCATAATGAAGATGGAGGGAAATCAGAACAGTGAATTATTGAGAAGTAACAGGAAGCACAGTCAGCCAAAAATACCATCAAGATCCGGATGAGAACCAAAGGGAGACAGATTATGTTGTGGATCAAAGAGTGAAAACAAAAACTGCACAAAAGTCTGGCACAAGACTGTAATCATAGGTCTTGAATGGAGACAACATGTCAAATGCACCGAAAGGCATCGGCAATTATTGGGATGATAGAAGCAGTGAGATGAACCTTTTCACAGTTTTGTTTTCATCAATCGATAGGTTCTTGAATCTGAACTTTGATGGAACTACCATTTGCAGTGATATGGGCCATACTCTTCACTGGAGCTTATCAGTTTCATGCTGCTTTGGATTTGTGTTGCTGTTTGGTGCCATTCGAAGACCTACTCTACTCAAGTAGATAGCATTGTTGCTATGAAACTAGTAGATTTAAATCTCTAGAGAGAGAGAGAGAGAGAGAGAGAGAGATGAAAACTTGTTATATAAATCCTTCAACAAAATTAAGGAATTATGTTGAAAATTTGTCAGAGGACAATTATTGAATCCACCTTCTTAAGGTCAATATTGGATTCTTTCCTTTGTCCTTTCCTATTACATAGTTTCTCAAGGAAAAGTGTCATGCTCATAGCCTTAATCTTTTCCTCACGCTTTTCCAACATTTCCAGTGAAAGAGTGGCCTTCGGATGCTTTCTATGGAAAAAGCTAATCCTTAGATCGACCCAATCCAGAGCTGTAAGCCATGTCAATTGAGGCCAATCCATGGGAATCCTGCAACTTGTCTTGCACTGCTCTTGTGTCGCTGTAACAGGGTTGGGAAAGCAGGGCTCGAAGGACGTGCTTGGTTTCAACAAGGCGGCTGCTTTTGATCGAGTAGCTTTCATGAGTGTAGACTTTGTCATGCTTGAGGGCTTCATGTCAACACTGCTCCAACGTTCGGGTCCCTCCAAATTGGCCTCTTTGCTTGTATGTTTCCACAGGCAAGATGCTATCCGAGATGGTTTTGATCTGCTCAACTAAAGTCTCCTGGTTGACTTTGTGATCTCTCAGGAATCAGAGTGCCCAAAGTTTCTGATACATGTGTCCTCACAAAGCTTGGAGCTTCTTAAATCATGGTTGAAGTCACTAAGAAACAGAGAAGAAGATAGCCAGGAAACAACATCCACTTGCATCTGCACATCTATTTCTAGTTTGGAATAGATGTATCCTTGTTCGGAGAGTCCTTTTCCCTGGTGCAGGAAATGTTATCCTTGTTATCCAAATTCTAGACCATGGTACATGTTATCCACAGAACTTTCTTTATCAGATGCAACGTGATGGGAGGTAAGAATGGATTCATGGCATCATGATTTAATGCTTGAAACACAAGTGACTGGTGGTGGCAGCAGGGATTAGCAGTTCAGTCATGGTGTTTAGTCTCTTGAAGTGTCAGTCTGAGAAGATGGATCTGCAGTTGTTACTTGGTTTATAGGGAAGATCCTGGTTGATAGGGATTGAAAGGAGTGGGTAGTAACAAAGCATTCTAAGATTGACATGTTGAAGAAGAAGATGTTGGGAAGAAGACAATGGAGGCATTCATTAATCCCATGTTTAATGTTCATCTTTCAGTGGTTGGTCAACAAGTCTGCTGCACGCCACACACACTCGGGTCCGCAGAGTACAACGCCAAAGCTGACCTACCATTTCCAACTCTCGTTTGCTTCATGCACTAACTTTCTACAGTATAAAGGGAAGAAGAAGAGTTAAAGAGGTTATATATACTGCAATCATCTCGTTGGGGGTGCTCTCCTTCCATGTCATCTCCGTTTCTCTCTCTTACAGATGAGCTTAGCAGCACCTCATTGCGCCATTCCTTGTCATGTTGACGATGATGACTCCACTCATCTGCTACCTAAATCCATCTCCCTCTCCACCCAACTAAGCCTTCCTTCTCTCCGCTCCCTTGACTCCTGCGCTGAAACCGTGCCTTACTCTCTTCACCGGTGCACCGCCACACTCAGAGCTCATTCCTCCTACGTCTCTGCCATCGCCGTTCATGGGGAGTCGGTTTACAGCGGCAGCCCCGACCAAGAGATCAGGCTTTGGCCTTGCGTCCACTTGGACTCAGCATCGTCATCGTCATCGTCATCATCCGCTCCGAGAACGGATCGTCTGACGAGCTTTACGGTCGCTGCTGCTAAAAGCCCGGTGAAGTCGCTTGTTGTTGCAGGGGACAACCTCTTCAGCTCTCACCAGGATGGGAAGATCTGTGTGTGGCAGATAAACCGAAGGGAGCGCCAGCACTGCAAGCTGAAAGCCGTCCTGCCCACCCAGAAGGACCGCTTCCTCAGCCTTTTGGTGCCCGAGAACTATGTGCAGGTCCGCAGACACAAGAAGTGCACCTGGGTGCACCACGTCGACGCCGTCTCCGGCCTCGCGGTCTCGCACGACGGAGCCCTCCTCTACTCCGTCTCCTGGGACCGTGCCCTCAAGGTCTGGCGCACCTCCGACTTCAAGTGCATGGAGTCGGTGGCCGGCGCCCACCGGGACGCCATCAACGCCGTGGCCGTGTCGCTGGACGGGCACGTATACACGGGCTCCGCCGACGCACGGATCAACGTGTGGCGGCGGGGGGGCGAGGGAGGGACCAAGCACTCGCTGGTGCAGACGCTGGAGCGGCACCGGTCGGCGGTGAACGCGCTGGCGCTGAGCGCCGACGGGTCGGTGCTGTACTCGGGCGCGTGCGACCGGTCGGTCGTGGTGTGGGAAGGGGGCGGAGGGCGAATGGAGGCGGCGGGGGCTCTGAGGGGACACCGGAGGGCCATCCTGTGCTTGGCGGCTGTGGGGGGGGTGGTGTGCAGCGGGTCGGCGGACAGGACGGTGAGGGTGTGGAAGAGGGGGGTGTTAGAGAAGGGACGCTACTGGTGCTTGGCCGTGTTGGAAGGGCATGGGGGTCCGATTAAGAGCTTGACAGCGGCGCCGGTGGTGGATGAAGGCAGCAGAACTGAGAGCTCTTGTGGCTTGGGGGGAAGCAGCAGCAGCTCCTCCTCATGCCTGGTCCTAAGTGGGGATTTGGAGGGTGAGATAAAGGTGTGGAGGGTTTCGATTCGTCCTCCTCCTCCGGAGGGAATCTTCTGTTAATTAACGGCTTCTTCTTCTCCTTCTTCTTCTTGGATGGGTGGGAGAACAGCTTTTTGCCTCCGCCCGACAAAGAAGAGCTATCGTTGGGGTGAGGATCCCCTGTTCTCATAAGCCCAAAAACAGGATTTTCCACATACAAAAGATCGGTGGGGCCCATTATTAAAGACTTGTCAGACCAGCTGAGAGACAGCCGGAGGCGCCACGAAGGGCTCTCCTGTTTGGTACAGACGGGAGATCCTCGCCCGCTTTTGCCTGCTGTAACCATGCCAAGTTAGCCTTTTGATGTATAATCCAACGTGGCTAATAACATATAAGAAAACGCCGTTTATACTCTAATGCTATTCGTATATTAATATTTGTACACATACATATATGTATATATATATGATTTATTTATGGGGCTATAAAAATACATAATTTTTATTGAACATGGAGGAGTGAGACAGGGACAGATTATTAATGAATTTTGACATACATCACAAGCTTTAATGAACATAAATACTTAATATCTCAGGAAAGTGTGATCCATGTGTTTATTATGATCTTGATTTTAATTATTTTCTTATTTATATTCTTTTTTTTTTGCAATATTAATTAGATGTTTGTTACTGGGCCAACAATCTACTTGTTTTGGGCTTTTAATCCGATAAATGGGCCGACCTATTTGATGCATAAGTGGTAAGCATCCTTATTCTTTGGATATTTTGATAATAATACAAACAATTCATATTTATACTCTCATTCATACCATAGTAACAGGTATTAGTATAAAAGCATGAGATCTATACGTATATGGATGTGTGTATACGTATACTGACAATGAAAAGAAAGAGTGACAAGACCTACAAAGGGTTTATTTCCGAGGAGGAAAACAAAAGGAATCACACACACCCAAGCAAGTCGACACCCTACAAATAAAGACAATGCGATGGAACAAAATAGATTGATAGCCTCGTTGAATTCACGTGTCTTTTTGTTGTCGTATGGCTCCCCTCCTCCTCGGGTCATCATCAACCTCAATCCGTAGGGAGGGCGTCCTCTGCGGTAGCACATACCAAGGCTGCCTTCCTCTTTTATTTTACAGCCTTCGATGTATCATGTTCAAGGAGGAGCTCATCGTCTTCACAGGTGTGCATGGATCGATACGACTCATTGCTCCTTTAAGAAGGGGCTGTTGTTTGTCACCGAGATTGCTGCTCATAGTCACCACCGACGTGGGACTGTCTCACGTATTTGTAGCAGTGGACTCCTCCTGGTGTTGGAATCTGGAAGGCTTGCCTTGTGGCTGGGAAGGAGAGAGAGGCTCTTGCAATGACGATGCCCGATAGCTGAAGATTCATCATACACATGTGAAGATAAAGGCGATGCATGCGTCGCCTTTCCCCTCCGTAGAAAGAATGAGTAAATTAATGTCAAAGCTGGAGAGGAAACAGCGCTGGTTGGGTGCATGCGAGCTTTTGCTGGTTTTACTTTTGGTAGGTCAACTTATAGAAAGATGTATTCAGCTGCGTCGCCCGACTCACTTTGAGCGACTCACCTGTCGTTGTTAGCAGTGAATTCCAATGCTTTGTACCAAACAAAGCTGAAATGTTCATAGCGAAGCCGTAAGGGTTTTGAGGTATGTGGTGTGACTTCAAACTTCATTTCAAGAGCTGCTTCAGACAGCATCCATGAGTACTAAGAACATGCATCATTTTCCAGCTTCGATACAAACGTCTGTACCTTTGGCACTGAGATTTTGGCCAATATGTGCTCCCAATAGTACACACATTTAATCTTTTCCTACTCCCAACGTCGAAGCAAAAGGACAGGGATGAGACTGCACAGTTACCGTTCTCCACTTCACCAAAGCGATAATGGTGTCCTGCCACATGGCCCCTTCTTTAGCTGCTTCCGATCGGAACACAATTAGGGCGACCCACACCTGTGACCCGCCCTTGTCTTTGTGAACCTGTAATGCTCCCTCTTGCCCTTGGAAAGGGAAGAGAAGGCAGTGTAACTTTGATGCAGCTTGTTGTTAACTGAAGCTGGCACGGAAACATGTGTACCCTCTGTCATGGGGATTGGTCAGAAGCAGCATGGCAGTAACTCAGCAGGTAACATCAGCATCCCTTTTGAAGACGGAGGGAGGAGAGGGTTCTTATGGGCTTTATGATCGTTCTCCCATGTGATCATGGGAAGCATGCGCGGTACTACCACCATCACGAGCTGCTTGGCGTCTATCCCTCTTCCTCTCCCTTCCTCTCGCCACCAATCATGGCCTTCCCACCACTATCATCGGTACCCCTCTCTTCTTCTCACTTGGCCACTCGTCACCACGCCCCTACCAGCACAGAACAAGCGGTGGGAGGAGGGAGCGAAGCTTAGTGAAACAGCAGCAGCAGCAGCAGGAGGAGAAGGAGGAGAAGAGAGGATACCATGGCTACGACATGGGAGCTGATCACGCAGAGCACTTGCCCTTTCCAGTGAAAGCAGATCATCCGTTCCTTCTCTTCTGGACTTCCTTTGGGGGAATCAAGCGTCTTGGTCCGATCTCTTCATTTGTAGCTCATCCTGTGGTCATGTTGTGTTTCCTTTCAACTTTGCTTGAACCCTAGCCATGGTGTGACAAGGAGTTTGTGTTTGGGATCGTGTGATTTGTTTGTCTGTATGAGCAAATTTCGGATCTTTTCCTATATCACAGTCTCTAATCATGTTTGTTTCAGGAAGAGGGTTTCCTTTCACAGATAGATATGTGTGTCGATCACATCCTTCTGAAGAAGGAGAAAGATGTATCCTACTGCTTTTGTTTACTCCATTTTCTTCATGCTCATGATGATGATATGATCTTCTTCTGTTCCAGATTCAGATTACAACATAACATTTATTTAGTTGCCATCAGTAGATATGCAAAGATCACTGTGGAAGGATGATTTCTGGCAACAAAAAAAGTCATTATATTCTATGTTTAGAGACTCAGAGATTAATTAGAATCAGGCTCACCAATTCCCAGGAAGTATAAATACTGGCTAATATAGATTTGTTTTCTCTTCCTTTTTCTGTGAGTTACTACTGCACTAGTGTAGTTAGTTTTTGGCTGTATGCAAGAACTTAATTCTATGCATGAAATGGTGAAAGATCTGCCATGGTCATGATTACAAGAACTATTTTTTGTTGTGCATCAACATATATTTATTTAATTTTCTTCCAGTTAGATGCAAGAGAAATCTAAGATATTTGGCCATGTCTTCTATCTTTTTCCAGCTAAAAATTACCTTGAAATCTATCTTATGCAATGTTATACATTCTTTTTTGAAAGTAGATGCAGCACAAATTTGTTTTCTATTATGATGGATTAAGCAAAAAAAAAAAATAGTCTGCTAAATTTTCTTTAATGGTTCAAATGCTAGATTTCTTTAAGTTCATCCTCATCATCCTCATCATTATTATTAAGATACAAAAGTCTGTTGCCTAGCTGCAAATTTTGGGAGCTTAAAACATTGTTGGGATATGTGATGTAAATATTTCTCCAATAGAAGAATAATTTTCCCCTTTTTTTCTTTGCTAAAGTATTATTTTACATGCACACACCTAAGAAATTGAATGAGTGTTCAAGTAACAAAAACACAATTGGTTCAACAAATTGAATGTTAGATGCACAACATAACTTCAGAAAATCTAATCTATCTATCCACTTCTTAATCATTTTATCTATACATCCATTCATCCATCTATAAGATAGGTAGATAGATGCTTTGTGTGTGTGTGGAGAGATGGGGTTTGAATTAGTGGCCTTTTTTCTACATGGTGGAGATTTGAGTTGGACATTATAATTCAGATATCAAGGAAATATTTGCTTGCTCTACAATGGTCATTATGAACATCATAATATCATGGTTTAGTAGATTTATGTGTGCTTGCCACCCTACATGTAAATGATTAATCTATATATTTGGCTTGATTTATAGCTTCCATGATATTTGAATATATTGGCCACCCTAAATGTACTTGGCCATGCAATAATTTTTAATATCACTTTAAATTATGACTTAGCTAGTTCAACACATCTCACATCTCTGTCTCAAGATCAAGTAGTTGGGAAGATGATCAATAGAAAGACAAGATGCATCCATTGCATAATTGATCTTCCAATAATATAATGCATCACATGTCACACAGAAGCCACCTCTTGGACCACCTAATAAGTCTAAACTAATAATTGACTCATAATTGTGTCTACTATGTCCCAAATTAATTTCAAATTAGGGATATTAAGTTATTGTACATATTTTTATTTTGGCACAACTTTTCTTAACAACGCAAATGTGTTTATCTAACAAAAATTAGTATGCTAATTATAAATTATCCCCTATAATTAGTTATCTTTAGTATCTTGATTATATATTTTTAAAAATTATATTAGGATCCATATGTTTACAAAAGTAAAATATTTAATCTCGTTTCTTGTTATACCGTCGATTTTACTAGCGAAAATGCTATCGTGCTAAATGGTAAATCGAATGAGATAGAGTTAGCACATTTTCTATACTAAAACCTATGATATTTCTATTACAAGAAATATGATTAAATAAATTTATTTTCATAAATATAGGATTCTCAATATAATTTTTAAAAATATTAATATCAAAATAGTAAGAATAATTAATTACAAGGGGAAATATATAATTAGTCTAAAGTTAGTAGTAGGCTTGACTCATTAGGATTAGCTATTTAATCAAGAAATATTGTTTCTCTCTAAAAAAACAAAGTTCCTATAAAAAACACACTTATAAGATCCACAAAATCATGAAAATAAATGATTAATTGAGAATAACAATTAATCCGTTAACCATCCTAATCATAATATGTCCTCATCATATAAAATGTAACAAGTAATAATAATAATAATAATAATAATAATAATAATAATAATAATAATAAATAATAATAACGTCAACCAAATTTGTGGTTAATAATATAATAAAATACTGATTTTAGCCCAAACAAAATGTTTATAACGATAACATACGGTATCGCTTTCATGTAACGGGTCGGGCCGAAACCGTTACGACATTCGTTATTTGGACGATGTCGTCGCGGTTGTCTCCCGAAGAGTGGGCGCGGTTCGAAGGGCTCGGAGGCGGAAACCCCTCCAGAATAAGGCGAGAGCTGTCGATTCGGCCGTCGTGACGATCCGAGCTAGTAGAAGCGATGGCGCTGAGCCCCCGGACCGCCGCCCTCCATGGCGTCGCGCCGCTCCCTCGCTTAAGGCTCCCCTCGTTGACTTCCTGCGGCTCCCGTCGCGTGAATGTCCGCGCGAAAGGTTAGGATCCTCGATCCCGTCTTCGTGTTATTGT